TTATTTGCCCAAGGTCACATGACAAGTTAGAGGCAGAGGGGGGACTAGAACCGCTATCTCCTGTTAGAGTGACCTATACAACACAAGTTTTTTTGTTTTTGTTCTTTTACAGGATCTTCTTCAGAGTGACAGCATTAGAATTTCAAGATACTCTTAGGCATAGAAAGGGAGCAATATCACCCTCCCCTCAACATGCATCCATTTAAACAGGCACTAAGTGTCCACTAAGTTTCAGGCACCTGTGCTCGTTGCTGCTGAAGGCAAAATAAACAAAACGTGGCCCATGTTTTTAAGGGAGCCAAGCTCATCATACATAGACAGAGACTTTGTGAAAGGCAATATCTCATAGTATACAATACAAATTATACAGCTGCGCTGCTGTTACTAATTGTACTACTAAAGGGGCAAGGTGGGCAAACCCCATCTTATCACTAACTGCATGGCAAGGATCAGCATAAATCCAATTCCCACCTGAAACTGGACTCAGGCTTCACCTTCCCACATCTCCATTCTTCTTAACCAGCCACTTCTGTGGCACTTCCTCTTTCACTCTAACCACCCAGCGGCCCAGCCACCCAGAGCCAGGTCATCAGGGATCAGCCGTAGGCTCAGGAGTCTGCACAACTCCCAGCACATCAGAGCAACCACACCCACCCCTCCACCCTGTGTCACCCTGGCATAGGTCACAAGCTAGAGGAACTCTGTCCTTCATTGACTGCTCATGCAGCCTTACTTTGTCACTCAGCCAGCTAGAGCTGGGTATTCACAAATCAACTGCCTTAGCAGCCTTTCTGTGAATCAGCCATCCACCCTGAGCTAAGTTACAGTTCCGCTGCCCCTTGTTAGTTCATTAATTCTCTATAACAGCTCACAAAATTCATGGAGACTATTACCTATTCTTGAGCCCTTGTGGCACCATGGTTAAAGTGCTTGGCTGCTAACTAAAAGGTTGATGTTTCAAACCCACCAGTTGCTCCGTGGCAGGAAGATGTGGCAATCTGCTTCCATAAAGATTACAGTCTTGGAAACCCTATGGGGCAATTCTACTCTGTCCTATAGGGTCGCTATGAGTTGGAATTGACTTGATGGCAATGGGTTATTTTCAGAAAACTAGAGAAAAAAGGCCAAACCAAGTTCTTTGTCCCACACAACAGCATATAACGTAACGTATGATCATACAACCTATATAATTACATTATACTATTATTGACCTTGTCGTATGTAATATTATAAACTGCATAATATTAAATTTATATACTATATGTATGGAACAGGAAGTACTTTGAGGCCATAGAGGGCAATTGTGCACATGTACACTAGGCTCATGGTAAAGCAGATTGGTGAACTTGGAAAGTTTGCCATTAGTTGTACTTCATTCTCCTTTTGTCATTTCTCCACTTACATTAGTTTCCTAGGGCTGCTGTAGCATATTACCACAAACTGTGTGGCTTATAACAACAGAAATTTATTGTCTCATAGTTCTGGAGAGGAGAAGTCTGAAACTAAGGTGTTGGCAGGGCCATACTCTCTATTAAGTCTCTAGGGGGAGGATCCTTTCTTGTCTCTTCTAGCTTTTGGTGGTTTGCCAGCAATCTGTGGCATTCCTTGGCTTGTAGATGCATCACCCCAGTCTCTGCGTCTGTCTTCACATGGCCTTTTCTCTACTGTATCTGTGTCTCTGTGTCCAAATTTTCTTCTTTTCTTTGAAGGACACCAGTCATATTGGATTTAAGTCCCAACCTAATCCAGTATGATCTCATCTTAACTTGATTACATCTACAAAAACCCTATTTCCAAATAAGTTCACATTCACAGGTTCTGAGTGGATGCGAACTTGGTGGGGGGGGGGGGGCCAGCATTATTCAACCCAGTATACCACTTTTAACCTGTCCCCAGCCCGCATTGGTTGGAGCCTCTTTGGACCAAAGTCCATTTGGATTTTCTGTCACAGTTTTCAGGGCATAGAGTCCCTCTGAGCCCCACCTAGTTCTTCTCGGTTAATATTTCAAATGGTTGCCACAGCCTCGCCACATTTAATTCATGAGTTTAACAAATAAGTTTTTTGGGGCTGGTGAGTTTTGATGGGAGACAGAAGGAAGCTGAAAGAGGCATACAAGGACAGCAAAGGAGAATTACTGAATCTTCACATATTTGCTTCTACTTTTCCTTTGGATATTTTTGTTTACTAGGCCTAGAATCATGATTTCAGGCTATATTAATAAAACATACCGAATAGGTTGGGGGCTATGAACGTGGACCTCACCCCTACACCTCTGGCATAGTTGAATGCACATGGAGGGTATGGAATGTGTGTATAACTCTAGCACCATCACCTCTCAGCTTGTGACCTTGGGAAAATGCTACCTATCTGGGTCCTCAGGTTGAATTTGAGGTACAGTGGTTAAGAGCCTTGGATCTGGAGCCAAACTACCTGTGTTCAATCCTGGCTTCACCACCATGGGACCCTTAGGCCAAGTCCTTCACATTTCTGTGCCTCAGTTTCCTCATCTGTAAGAGGGGGATGACATCCCACTTCACAGGATTATCATGAAGAATAAATGTGTTAATAATACATGTAAAGCGCTTAGAATAATGCCTGGCAATATAGACATTGTCATCATTGTTAGTTGTCATAGAGTCAATTTCGATGCATGGTGACCCCATGTATGCAGAGCAGAATTACTCCTTAGGGTTTTTAAGGCTGTGACCTTTTGGAAGTAGATCACCAGGTCTTTCTTCCAAGGTATCTCTGGGTGGATTCAAACAACCTTCAGCCAACCTTTCAAATACTAGTCAAGCATTTAATCATTTGCACCACCCAAGGACTTCTACTATAGACATTAGTTGTTATTCTCTATAACTGTCTCTATAAAAACTTATTATTTTATATTATTATAAAATTTGTATTAAAATATATGAATTTTTTTTGTGTTCAGCTAATGGGAATTTCAATATTTTACTAGTTCCTCCTTTAATTCTCTTATTCTCACTGCCTCCTGATGCTCCCTCCCCCAGAGAAAAATAGTTGACAATATGTGGATTTGGCTTTTGTTTTTGTACACTTACATTGTAACTAATCCTGGGAAGAAACACTTAAAGGACCAAGAACCAGGTAACCGTTAAGTGCTTCTTGGGAAATTTTTCGGGACCTGACACCGTAAACTAAAGTTAGCACCAAGAAGTTACTAAATTAATATTTGTTTGTTTGGAGTGTGGCCTGCAGGCTAAGGCACTGTCCGTAACTTTAGCTCTGTGAGCAGGTGTGGCACCCACAATGGTGCCTCCCACCTTTCAGATTTTATATAACAGAGCCCACACTGTCTCAACTACTCAGTGAGTCTATTTCTAGCACTAAGGAAAAGTGAGAACTGAATAGGGAGTGGGGCTCTTAGGGTAACTAGAGGAAGGCAAAATAACTGTAATTTCATAGCAATTACCTACAACCAACCCTGTAAAAAGCTCCAGGTCTCCATTATAAACCTGAGCCTCCACTGACTGTGATTTGCAAGGTAGAAATAAGCCCACAATTAGGCTCTAATGTATGAAAGACTCAGTGCTACCTCCCTGTCTAAATCTTTCTAAATGCATTTTTTTTCCTTCCCTCTCTTTCAAGAAAAAAGAAAACTCTTGGTAAGCCCCCTTTCCAGGATGTTGGTTGGTTGGTTCATTTTGAGTTTCAATAAATAGAAGTTGGGAGCTTTGCAAGTATGCCTGGGGATCGGCCACTGCCTACGCCCTCCCTGTGAGCCAAGCTCAGTGCCGTGGCCTCAGGATGGGACCTTGGCTGCCAATAGAGCCAACATCCCAGACAAGAGTGAGGGGGTTATTTCTCTCTCTAAGTACCATGTTGGGAACCAATAAACCACTCAGTAGAAACAAATTATCCAGAGGGTGGTTCCACCTTTTTTTTTCGTTTGTTCCTGTGTTTGCTCAAAATAAATCCTTTATAAAATTCATAGTTTTGCAGCTCACTCAGAAGTGAAGTAGAGATATTCTTGTGTTCCAGACATGTAAAATAACACCAACAAAAAGAAACAAAAAAAAAAATCCCAGCAAAACCTTATTTTGAGGAGGATAGCGGGAAGAGGGAATTTAATGAGCAGAAATATGTAAGCACCTGATGATGTTATCTGTTATTGTTATATGTGTTCCTGTCTTATCCCTCTGCCCATCCCATAGAAGGCCATAAGCTCCTTGAGGGAACACATTTTTGAATCCTGCGTGTAATTTTCTCTAGTGCTCTGCAAATAACCGATAGTCAATATGTCTTTGTTCAGTAAAAGAATAATTTAACCAATGAATGGTTTATTGACACAGAAGGTCAAGTACTAGTCAGAACTACTAAGTAGAGTATTGATTAAAGTCTTGAGCTTGCTGACCATTTTAAATATCCTAGGAGAGGGAGGTCAAAATTTGAGGTATTTGTACTCATAAAATCCTCGTGGAGCAAGGACCCAAGGGTGTTAGAGGGTAAGCTACAGAGGAAATTGTTTTGGGCTAGGTATAGCCGAAGACAAGCATTTTTACTTGTTACACTTGTCCTCAGAATAAACTGCTTTGACAAATATAAACTACTGGTTGGTGGAGATATTCAGGCATAGACTAGATGACTGCCTGGAGGTATAGAAGCTGGTACTCCAGCATCATCTTTATTAGACTATGTGAGGTTGCAGGTTTCCTTTTACCCTGAGACGCTAGAGTTCTATAGTTTCAGAAAGTTACGATTCTACATAATCGCGATAATGGAAACTCAAGTTCAGTTCAGCAAATATTTATTAAGCTCATATTGTGCCAGGCATTGCCCTAGACAGACATTAGAGGGACAAAGATGAATAAAGTAAGGCTATGAGATATAAAATACAACACTGCCCTTTAAGGTTAGGCTTGGACATGCATGGTTTTCGTAGTTCTTAGATTGAGGTTTTGGTGTTATATATAACCCTATGTCCCTTCTTAATAATATGTACAAGCCAACTCAGGACTGGTTTTCTTCCTTCTAGGCTGGAAGCGATGGAGAAAGCATTGGCAACTGTCCTTTCTCTCAGCGCCTCTTTATGATCCTTTGGCTAAAAGGAGTTGTGTTCAATGTCACCACTGTGGATCTGAAAAGGTAAAGGACACTGCATTAATGAGGAATGTATTTAGCTGCAAGGAACAGAGAACCTTCCATGAGGGAAGGCAAAAGCCGCCTTCCCAAGGTTCCCACTAGCCTTCTGCTTATAACTATTGGCCAAAAATGTGTAACAGGAACCACCCCTAGTTACAAGAGAGGCTTCAGAAGTGAATATCTCACTTGGGGTTGAGCAGCTTCGTTGCCATGATTAGCAAGGTTTGTTTAGCAAGGAAGAAGGAAGGAATGGATATTGGCTATGCAGCTAGGAGTGTCTGGCGCAGATCACCTGAAAATATAGGAGTGAGCCCTTTTAGTAGTGCTAGTGCCCTATCCTGGGGGCTCCTACAAAATCTCCAGGTGTGAAAGTCTGAATCTTCAGGGATTTGAGATCCAGACCATGTCCCATATTCCAAACAGGGTCATATTACAGGTCCAGTTAGGTCTTCAACATAACTTTTAGGGGTATGTGATTCAATTCATTACACTTTGTTCTTCCATTTTCTAGACTCCAAAACTTTGGAGTTGTTTCCATCTCCTGTCTCTCACCCCCCGTATGGTCAGTTAGACGCCAAGTCCAAGACATTCTCCCATTGTACTATCTCTCACCTCCAAGCTCTTATGTCCATTCTCAGGTCCCACCACTGCTGGCCTGATAGTCTCCTGTTCTTCAAACTGGTCTTCTTTCCAGGTACTCTCTCTCTCTCTCTAATCCACCCTTTATATTATCATAAGGTTATTCTATGTCCGCATCTTTAGAATTCCTTAGTGTGAGAATTCTGGATTATAGAACAGAGAATTACTAGTGTTCCATTTTTAAAGGGCAGTTTAAAGGATGTTAAAAAACAAGCAAACAAATAACAGCAACAACAAAACCAGGCATTGCTCAATATCAGGAGCCACAGTCTTTATTCTTACAGAATATATTCTGTTTCTGTTCTATTTGTTGGCCTCTCTCTTGTCCTTTAAATGTGGAATCGCTCGAGGCTCAGTTCTTGAGTCCCCAGTGAGCATGGTATATTCTCCCTGTCTCCTTTATGTGAATTATTTCAGATCCAGAGCCCCAGGCATTATCTAAATAGTTTCACTTGGATTTTTTTTTTAATCATCTTAAACTCTTTATGTCTAAATTATATTCATCACTTTTCCTTTGAGATGGGCTTCCCTCCTGAATTCCTTTGCCTCTTAGTTTGCTAGGCTGCCATAACAAAACATCACAAAGTGGAAGCTTTAAAGAACAGAACTTTATTTTCTCACCGTTCTGGAGGCTAGAAGTCCAAATTCAGGGAGCTGACTCTGGGGGAAGGTCCTTCTTTGCCTCTTTCAGCTTCTAATAGATTCTGGCAATCCTTGGTGTTCCTGGACTGGTAGAGTCATCTGCCTGCATCTTCACATGGCATCTGCCTGCTGCGTGACTCTGTGTCTATTCTGTTCTTTTCATACTAGTCAGAAGGAATTAGGTATAGGACCTCCCCTATTCCAGTAAGACCTCATTAATGTAACAAAAGAAAATGTTTATTTTCAAACAGAATCATATTTTCAGGTGCAGGGGTTAGGACATCAACATAACTTTTAGGGGACACAATTTGATCCATATAATGCTTTGCTGTTCCATTTGCTAGGCTCTGAAACTTTGGAATTGTTTCCAGCTCCTTTCTCTTGTCACCCCTGTGGTCAATTAGTTGCCAAGTCCAGGACGTTGTCCCATTGTACTATCTCTTACCTCCAAGCTCTCTTGTTCATCCTCAGAGCCCACGGCCTGGTTCAGGCCCCACCGCTGCTAGCCAGACAATTTCCTGTTCTTCAAACTGGTCTTCTTCCCAAATACTCTCTCTTTCTCTAATCCATCCTTTATATTATCATAAGGTTGTTCTTCCAAAGATAGACCTCTAATCATGTTGCTCCTGCTGCTCAGAAAATCTTCTGATGCTTCCCACTGCCTGCAGAAGAAATGCAGTCTCAGCCCTCCTTTGTCTTTTCTCAGCTTCTTCCCAGTGTTATCTCCCAACACTTCTCTCCATGAACTACCTACCTTTGTCGCACTGGCCTTCTTCTGCTGCTCTTGTTCCTTCCAGCCTCCAGCACTTGGCTAGGGTGCTTTCTCTTTCTAGGACAGGCTCTCTCCTCCTTTCTGTCTCTAGAGACTGCACAGCCCCCAGGCCCAGCTTCTGCCCCATCTCCTCTGTGAAGCCTGCCCACACCCCCACCTCCAGTCTCAAGTGCCTTGTATCAATCCAACCTCCCTCCAAACTCACTTAGCCCCTGTTGTCTACGTTGTCTTGTGTCATCGTTTATCATTTCACCTAGTTGTGAGATCTACAGTCCTAATACTTTAAAACTGGTGAGCCCTTTTCCACGAATAACTGCATATCGCCTAACCCTGTGAAGGAGGTCTTGTTTCCCCATTTTGTATAAGGAAACTGTGGTGAATGCATGTAAGTGACTTGCCCAAAGTGCCCAGCTAGAAATTGGAGGGACTGCTACTGAAAACCCAGTCTTCTTGGTTCACATCCCATGTTCTTCCTAACACACCAGATTGCCTTTTTAAGTGTTTTGTTTTTCAGATGAGACCTTAAGTCCCTCAAGGACAGGCAGGGATCATGTTTTAAGTTTCTTTGTATCCTCCATAGCAACTAATAGGCCTCAACTAATGTCTAGTGATAACAGACATTATCTGTGATGACTAAAGAGAGCAGGAGGCTTTCATCTAGTTTGAAAGAACAGCTTCTTTCAATGGAATATTGGAGGTCTTTGGATTATCATCTATAAGAGGGGACTTGTATGTTTGGCTGGAGATCAAAATAGGAAATGGAACAACCCCAGCATTCTTCAAATGTTTGTGATACACCTTCATATCTGTTATCACATATTTTCCAGCCAACACAAATCTTTTCCTGCCAACACCCCTTTGAGGTAGGCAGGCAAGTATCTTAACTCCAGTTTTATAGATAAGGAAATCTTCTTACTACCAAGAAAAAAATTATGTATGTATATATAAAACCAAACCCATTGCCATCGAGTAGATTCCGACTTGTAGTGACCCTACAGGACAGAGTAGAACTGCCCCATAGGGTTTCCAAGTAGCAGCTGGTTGATTCGAACTGCCGACCTTTTGGTTAGTAGGCATAGCTCTTAACCACTGCACCACCAGGACTCCGTACACACACACACACACACACACACACACATATTATACATCACACGTACATATCTATATTCAAAACAAACATATGTATACACATATATGTATATATGGGGAGTCCCTGGGAGGTGCAAATGGTTAAGCATTTGGCTACTAATTGAAAGGTTGGTGGTTTGAGTTCATCCAGAGGCACCTCGGAAGAAAGGCATGGCAATCTACTTCTGAAAAATCAGCCATTGAAAACTCTATGGAGCACAGTTCTACTCTGATACACATGGGGTCACCATGAGTCAGAATTGCCCCGGCAGCAACTGGTTTGGTTTTTATGTATATATTTGTATGTGTGTATGTGTATATGTATGACAGGTGATGGATATTTTTAAATGTAAGATACCATGAAGTTAAGCAATTGCTAAGAAAACTGGATTCTTATTCTAGCACCACCATTTATTGCCTGAGTGACCTTGAATAAATTATTTCACTTTTCTGAGCCTCAGTTTCCTCATTGGTAAATGGAGATAAACATAATACTTCCTTTATAGGGTTGTTGTGAGCACTTGGTGGGCAGGCCATGTAAAACATTTTTACTTAGTTCTGTGCCTGGCTCATAGCAGGAACTCAGTACATACTAGCTACTATTAGCATTATCCCTGTCCTCATGGAACTTGCAGTCAGTCAGGGAAAGATGATTGATGCACACTGAATAATTCATAAATTAGAATGTTAATGTGTAATTAAATGCTAATGGTATCATTTCAACTATAAATGCTGAAAGGGTCAACAAAGAGCCAGCATCCCATTGGCAGGACCCAGATGAGCATTGGAAGCCGTAGGCATTGCTTACCAGGGTGTGACTCCAGAGCCCATTTTCTCTAGAGTCCCGGGGGTAGAGGGACACAGGAATGTAATTGCTGAAAAATAAAATCAGCATAGAGTTCCCCTTCCAGCGGAGAGAACCGGAGCACTTCTGTCTTATATCAGCTCTAAAAATCAGGAGGAGAAACTAAAGAATGTCCTTCCATTGTCTGAAATGAGGGACACCCACAAAGTAAACAAAGGGACAAAATGAATTAGATTTTAAAAATTCTTTCTGTCTCTGTTGTCTGAGGAGTTCCAGTTGCCACAGAAGTACGTGTGGAGAGTACGTGTGTTTGGGGAACAACATGGGAGTAGCACTGTAATTGAAATTCTTCTCTTCCCCTCCCAAACTGATTATACCAGGAATTTATTTCATTACGACTCCCCTTGCCCTACTGCTTATTTATTTCAGTTCCCCCATGCAAGTTTTCCCACTCTTAACTCCCACAGAAATGTTGCATTCTTGGAGAGAGAGCATTTGAGGTGGCTCTGATGTCCCAGCCCTGCTGTGGAATTCTCCACCATTATTCCCCCTCTTTCTCATTATTTTCTTAGTTCAACCCTCTCCCTCCCCATTGTTCCCATTTCACCAACTCTTCGTGTGCTCACTTTGCTCCATCCTTGTTCTTGTCTTCAGACCAGTTGGCAGAAGCAAGAAGCCGGTCTTTGGCCCTTAACTGTTACCGTTGTTAGTTGCCCTTGAGTTAATTTTCAACTCATAGCGAGCCTATGTGACAGAGTAGAACTGCCCCAGAGGGTTTCCTAGGCTGTAATCTTTAAGGAATCAGATCACCAGGTCTTTCTTCCAAGGATCCGCTGGGTGGGTTCAAACCACCACTCTTTTGATTAGCAGCTGAGAGCTTAAGCGTTTAACTGTTGAATCACTAGGGCTCCTCTGGCATTAACAGGTCCCATAAAAACACAAGGTGTCTTTCCTTCCTGCTATACATGTTACAGGAGCTCTGGTGGCACAGTGGTTAAGTGTTTGGCTGCTAACTGAACCGACCAGCCACTCTGAGGGAGAAAGATGTGGCAGTCTGTTTTGAACAGCCTTGGAAACCCTATGGGACAGTTCTACTCTGTCCTATAGGGTCACTGTAAGTCGGAATCGATTCAATGGCAATGGGTTATACATGCCCTTGACAATGCAGTCCCTTTACACAGGTAGTTAAGCACACTCCCCAGCTCAAACCAGGTATGCCCGTTAGCATTGCTGTGGGCTAAGTACATACAGTTTAATCGATTAGTTGTTCATTCATTCAATTGAACATGTGTTCCAGGATTTCACCATCTCCTCCATCATCTGGGCTTTTCTTTCTGGATTATTTAGGACTCTTGCTTTGGTTATCTTAGATTTCCTTCAGTGTCTGACCCAGAATCCCACAGGTACACAAAGAGAATTCCTCTGTTCTCAGGGGAAGAATTTGCTGCCTATTATATATATGCTTCACCTATGAGATCATATTGGTCCCAGCAAAGCTTGCTATAAAAGGAAATAACTTCCTTTATGAATCCCATTAGAAAATAGAAGATATGTTTACTTGGAAAATAAATTGTTTATAACTTAAGATAACACTTAAGGACCCAGATAATTTTTTAAAAAATAAGCACAATTTCTGATTTAATATTGTTGTGGATTGAGTTGTGCCCCCCAAAATGTGTGTCAACTTGGCTAGGCCATGACTCCCAGTATTGTGTGATTGTCCACTATTTTGTCATCTGATGTGATTTTCCTACATGTTGTAAATCCTATCTCTATGATGTTAATGAGGCAGGATTAGAGGCAGTTATGTTAATGAGTCAGGACTCAATCTATAAGATTAGTTTGTGTCTTAAGTCAATCTCTTTTGAGATATAAAAAAGAGAAGCTAGTAGATAGACCTCATACCACCAAGAGAGCAGAGCCAGGAGCTTGTGTCCTTTGGACCCAGGGTCCCTGTGCTGAAAAGCTCCTAGACGAGGGGAAGATTGATAACAAGTACCTTCCCCCAGATCCAGCAGAGAGAGAAAGCCTTCCTCTGGAGCTGGCACCCTGAATTCAGACTTCTAGCCTTCTAGACTGTGAGAGAATAAACTTATGTTTGTTAAAGCCATCTACTTGTGGTATTTCTGTTATAGCAACACTAGATAACTAAGACAAATATCAATAGGATATTTTCAATATATATATATTGAACAGAATTAAAATCATATATCAAGAAAAATAATAAGTTTCTGGTAAAGCTTGAACCATAATACTCAAAATTTAAGAATAATAGCATGTGCTTGAACTAAGTTAAAAAGTAGAAATACTGCAAAAGTGAGAGTATAATGGCGTAGCAACACTCTAGCAGTATACTTGTTGATTAGTTCTCCCCATATTCAATTGTAATCCCATAAGCTTTCATAGTTGGACTAAGGTTTTCACCAACTTCGGAACAATCTATGATTTCTAATTTTGCAGGTAAAAATCATTCTTTTTGAAAAATTAAAAGTAGGGAGTGCAAATGTACAACATATCTTTTATACCCTTTTCTAAATTATTTTTAAAGTTGTGCTAATTTTTTGATTGTGACAAGTTAAATTTTTCTGTTGCCTTCATTTTTATCTAGTGGGTTGTCTATTTTTTAAAAAATGAAATTATATTCAAAAATCTTAAAGAAACATATGCCACCAATTTAGAAATGTTGCCTTTTCTGTCATTAAACTCTGATACAAATTGGCATAATGTGTAAAGACTAGAACTATTATTAAAGAAATTTAGAGGATCATAGTTTCCTGTGATGGCAATTTTTTGTGTTATCTGTACTTTCCTTTAAGGAGCCCTGGTGGGCCAGTGGTTAAAGCGATTGACTGCTAACTGAAAGGTCGGTGGTTCGAAACCGCTTGTGGCTCTGTGGGAGAAAGGTGTGGCAGTCTGCTCCTGTACAGATGTACAGCCTTGGAAACCTTATGGGGTCACTATGAGTCAGAATAGACTTGACAGCAGTGGGTTTGGGGTTATACTTTCTTTTGGTAAAATGTTTTATCTGTGATTTTTTAGCTTAGTCAACATTCTGTTGAGTAAAACTTGATAATAAACTAATTTTCATAAATTAATTGAATTGTCTTGCAACATTAAAGTTTATATAAAGTTTTGAGTTGAATTGGATTAAAATAAAGGATTGTTTCAAAAAAATTAAAAATGGATGCTTTATTCATGTATTCATTAAAAATATGTATCTATTGAGGGACTTCTATATGACAGGCACAGATCTAGGTCCCTGCCTTCATGGATCTAGAGCTGCCAGACTTTCTCTCAGATAGCTTCTTACCCAGTAATAGTAGGTTCTTGATGCAGAATCCTTGGTGAGGAGAAAGCCAAAGCCCCTCAGGTGTTTGCTGAGCAATAATGTTGAACTTGGGTCTGTTGGACATAAATCCATGAGTTTTCACAAAGACCTGTACTTTGTCCATGTTAGAAACTTAGCAATGAAAATACTTTTGAAAACATCATCCCCCTTTAATAATTTGGATTTAAAACTAATAATTTTCTTTTTTTCAGTATACTCAAAGGCTGTATTAGGACCTATAATAATAGATCAACAAAATGTTCTGTTGAGCCTGACAAAAGTCTGGCTAATGTTAGACATTAGTTATCAGATATTAGAATTTAAGTTACACAGAATAGAGGTACTTTAATATGGCCGGATAGCTCAAGCTCCCAACTTCTTTGTATTTAAGAAATTATCTCTGCCCTCTTGAGATAACTGTAACATTACAATTACAGTATCTCAAGATAATATTTCAGTATCCTTCTTTCAGGATAATCTTTTGGGATTAAAAAAACCAAAAACCCATTGCCGTCGAGTCGATTCAGACTCATAGCGACCCTATAGGACAGAGTAGAACTGCCCCATAGGGTTTCCAAGGAGCAGTTGGTGGATTTGCACTGCTGACCTTTTGGTTACCAGCCAAGCTCTTAACCACTTTGCCACCAGGGCTCCTTTGGGATGAAAGTGTGATTTAATTAATTAATTTTTGAAGGTTGCAATTCTGTATAGTGAATTTTTGTTAAACTAATTGGTGAAGGAACTTTTGAAAGCAAAGTCTAGCCTCTTCCCTGGGTAATTAAAGCTTGACACTAATTTAGATAGTCACCTGTGATCATTCTCCACTTTTTCATTAGTACTGAAATCTTTCATCTTGACTTGCTCCTCTATCACTGTCTTGCACCCAACAGATTTCCTGTGTCACACCTTGCCTTCAGAACTTTCCCCCACCTTCCCTCCATATACCCCACACTCAGGGGTGGATTAGCCAATAGGCAAGGTAAGCACGGTGCTTACCTTGCTTACTAGATCATCTGTAGTGAACAATTTCACGTGTTTTCACATCAAAGATTCTGCTTCTACATATCGCTGGCATCTGTCTCTCTCCCAACTCCACAGCATCTTCCTACAGAATCAACGCCTCTTTTCAAATTTACAGTTCCTGACAGGGACAGATGACCCAGTAAGCAAGGTAAGCACGGGCTTACTTACTAATCTGTAGTGAACAGTTTCACGTGTTTTTCAGCACATCTTTGAAAGTGTTCACTGTACATTAGCAAGTAAGCACAAGTAAGCCTGTGCTTACTTTGCTTATTGGGTAATCCGTCTCTGCCCACACTATAAATCTGTCTTGCTGGCAGGCATATTGGATAGCACAAGGAGTCTAATTCCAGCTTCAAGTCCTAGGTTTCCTGAACGTGAAGCACCCTGGTGTAAGCCAACACCTGAATCTTGCTCTCTCTACAGGAAGCCAGCTGACCTGCACAACCTAGCTCCTGGGACCCATCCACCTTTCCTGACCTTCAACGGTGACGTGAAGACCGATGTCAATAAGATCGAGGAATTCTTAGAGGAGACCTTGACTCCTGAAAAGTAATGAGCTATTTATTTCTAGAGCTAAGGAAAGGGAAAGGGTCCATATTGGAATCAGAAAAGCACAGTGTAAACTTTGAGAAGGCAGATTTCCAAAGGAACCCCATCAATCCAGTGCATAGGACCCTCTTTTCAAAGAGAGGATCTGGGACACCCCTCCTCACCCCCAAAGGGCTGCCAATCTCAAAACTGCTTCACAAAGTCCACTCTGAGAGTAGATATCACCTATGAAGTGAAGCAGATTACTGGCTCCTAAACAGGGTGATTTTTAGGAGCACTGGGAAGATTATCACCTGTCCCTCCCCCCAGATAAGCCCTCTGCCCTGTTCATTTTGCCTAAAAGACCTCTAAGTGAGGACAAAGGCTTCCTCTTTCCAGAACAAGAACTGCAAAGCTGATGAAATTAAAATAAGCCAGGAGAGAGGTAACTCAGTGACTTAAAACCACAGCAAGCTATAAATAAGAGTCATAAATCTGACCAAGTCTAGTCTGACCCCATAATTCAACAGATGAAAAACTGATTGATAGCAGTTCCTTTTATGAAAAGGGTGCAGGGAAGGGAGGGACTACAGGGGCTGTAAGTTCTTATGAGTAGATAAGCTGCTGCTGACTGAAAATAGGAGTGCAGAGAAGAGGGGTGAATTCTAAAATTTACCAGAGGTTGGACACGTTCATTATAGTATGTCGTACCCAGAGATTAAAGTAATCACAACAATTAAAAGAAACAATATTACATACAGAATATAGAGAGAGTAGTACACATACCCTGTAGGGTAGCCACCGAAAGGTTTTAAGCAAAGGAGTTGGAGAGTGAGTTTTATGACTTACTTTGGGAGGCAGGTGGGGCGGAATATGGCAAAGCTGGAGGTAGAGAAATCATTGAGAAGGAGCCAATTGGTAGCTATCCAGGTGAGACATAATGGAGGGCTGAGCTAAGGCAGTGGCAGTAAAATGGGAGAAGGGCAGAACTGATTCAGGAAATACTTAGCAATTAAAATAAGCAGGGTTTGACTACTAAAATTCACCATCTTGCATTTATTTAAAAGCCCATTGTTGCAGCCACTGTGTCAATCCATCTCGTTGAGGGTCTTCTTCTTTTTTGCTGACCCTCTACTTTACCAAGCGTGATATTCTTTTCCAGGGACTGATCCACCCTGATAATGTGTCTGTGATGGTTAAGATTGTGTGTCAGCTTGGCTGGGCCCTAATTCTCAGTGTTTATATGTAATCACTCCCATGATGGTATCTGCTGTGAGTAGCCAGTCAGTTGAAAGGGAGTATCCTTGGGTGTGTGGCATGTATTCGAATATAAGCAGATGTTCTGGTTTTTTGCTCGCTCTGGATCCTGTGGCTGCCTTCTGTTCATCTGACCTCTGGTTCTTGGGACTTGAGCTATCAGTTTGTCTGCATATCTTGGGATTCATGGATCTTCACAGCCTGTGAGCGGGAGCCCTGCTCTCCAACCTACCGTTCTTGGGTTCGACAGCCCCTGCAGCTACGTGAATCAGGAGAAGCCTTGCAGTCTTGCCTACCAGTCTTGGGATTCATCAGTCTTCACAACCTGTGAGCAAGAGCCCTGCTCTCCGAACTGCTGATCTTGGGTTCGCCAGCCCCTGAGGTTATGTGAATCACAAGAAGCCTCTATCCTGATCCACAGACTTGGGATGTTCCAGCCTCTACAGCTGCGTGAGCCATTTCCTTGATTAAATCTCTCTATATATTTATACGCTTTACTGATTTTGCTTCTCTAGAAAACCCAGCCTAAGACAGTGTCCAAAGTTTATGAGATGAAGTCTAGCCATCCTTACTTCTAAGGATCACTCTGGCTGTATTTCTTTCAAGACAGACTTGTTTGTTCTTCTGGCAATCCATGGTATATTCAGTATTCTTCATCAATACCGTAAGTCAGTTTTTCTTTGGTTTTCCTTATTCATTGTCCAGCTTTCCCATGCACTGAAAACACCATGGCTTGGATCAGGCACACCTTAGTCTTTAAGGCGACATCTTTGCCTTTTAACACTTCAAAGAGGTCTTTTTCAGCAGATTTGCCCAATGCAATGTGTCATTTGATTTCTTGACTGCTGCTTTCATGGGCGTTGATTGTGGAACCAAGTACAGTGAAATCCTTGACAACTTCAATCTTCTCTCCGTTTATTTATGATGTTGCTTATTGGTCCAGTTGTGAGGACTTTTGTTTTCTTTATGTTGAAATGTAATCCATACTAAAGGCTATGATCTTTGATCTTTGTCAATAAGTGCTTCAAGTCCTCTTCACTTTCAGCAAGCAAGGTTGTGTCATCTGCATATCACAGGTTGTCAGTGAGTCTTCCTCCAATCCTGATGCCTCGTTCTTATTCATATAATCCAGCTTCTAGGATTATTTGCTCAGCATACAGATTGAATAAGTATGGTGAAAGGATACAACGCTGATGCACACCTTTCCTGACTTTAAACCACATAGTATCTCCTTGTTCTGTTCGAACAACTGCCTCTTGGTCTATGTACAGGTTCCTCATGAGGACAATTTCCATTCTTTGCAATGTTGTCCATAATTTGTTATGATCCACACAGTCGAATGCCTTTGCATAGTCAATAAAACACAGGTAAACATCTTTCTGGTATTCCCTGCTTTCAGCTACGATCCATCTGACATCAGCAATGATATCCCTTGTTCCACATCCTCTTCTGAATCTGGCTTGAATTTCTGGCAGTTCCCTGTTTATGTACTGCTGCAACTACTTTTGAATGATCTTTAGCAAGATTTTACTTGCGTGTTATATCAATGATATTGTTTGATAATTTCCACATTTTGTTGGATCATCTTTCTTTGGAACAGGCATAAATATGGATCTCTTCCAATTAGTTGGCCAGGTAGCTGTCTTCCAAATTTCTTGGCATAGACAAGTGAGCACTTCCAGCGCTGCATCCATTTGTTGAAACATCTCCATTGGTATTCTGTCATTTCCTGGAGCCTTGTTTTTCGCCAGTGTCTTCAGTGCAGCTTGGACTTCTTCCTTCAGTACCATCAGTTCTTGATCATATGCAACCTCCTGAAATGGTCGAATGTCGACCAGTTCTTTTTGGTACAGTGACTCTATTTATTCCTTCCATCTTCTTTTGATGCTTTCTGCATCATTCAGTATTTTACCCATAGAACCAATAAACTTTATGAACACTGAAATTTGAATTTCATATTATTTTTACACATCACAAAATAATATACTTCTTTTGATTTTTTTTTCAACCATTAAAAAATTTAAAAACAATTCTTAGTTCGTGAGTCAGACAAAAAGAGGTGATGGGCTGGAATTGGCCTGTGAGCTGTAGTTTGCTGACTCCTGCATTAGAGAAATTCACCATCTCTTTGATTCTCATCAGGTCATGTCACAATTTTATTTCAAAGAGCTTTCTGTGAATGAAAACAGTATTTGCTTGCCTGTTAGAGAAACAGAATATACTCTGGCCAAAAACCAAAACCAAGCCAGTTGCCATCTAGTTGATTTCGACTTGTGGCAACCCATGCGTGTCAGAGTAGAACTGTGCTGCATAGGGTTTTCAATGACTGATTTTTTGGAAGTAGATCACCAGGCCTTTCTTCTGAGATGTCTCTGGGTGGACTTGAACCTCCAACCTTTCAGTTAGCAGCCCAGCATATTAATTGTTTGTACAGAAACTGCATGTTCTCTGTAGCCTACTATATTTGCATATTTAAAATATGGTATAAATATGGAGCTAAAATAAATGCACTTAACATCCTGTATAGAGGCCTCCCCAAATCTTACTGAAATATCTGAGATTAACATCTTGGAGACACACTTCCCACAAAGTGAACTTCAAATGGGACATTATATATTCATGAATCACAGTGCTTAAAATGCAGGGTGAGACTACCAAGATCCTTATGAATACATAGCTCTTTGTCATCCGTCTTGAATTTGGTACCATTCATTCCTGTTTGGCCCACACTAATTGTGAAGAAATTGTCAGATTACTGATTAAATAATGGTATACAGCAAAACAAAACAACAAATCCAAACAAATTATCCACTAAAAATACATTTTCTAGGCCCTTCTCTCTTTACATTGTTAAGCAGAAACAAAGAGTACTCAGTATTTATTAATAATAATTTAAGGCAATGAATTCTAAGAGCATGCCAGATTCTGTGTGAGAAGGCCGAAATAGGAAAATCTCCATGTCCTGGCAGATTACATAATATCTTGCGGGAAACCTTGCTTCATGCCCGTGGTCACAGCAGATGAATTTGATAACTCAGGATACCCAGAAAGACTTATGTGTGTAGAACCTGTGGCAATCACCTCCTTCCTGATTTATGAAGGGATCTTATCCATGTGCTCAGCCATGCTTCAAGGGCTTTGGGGCTTTGAAGGTGTTATGGATTGAATTGTGTCCCCCCAAAATATGTCTTGAAAGGCTAACCCCCGTACCTGTAAATATGACCCTGTTTGGAAATAAGAGTTTTCTTTCATTATGTCAGTGAGGTTATGCCAAAATAGGGTGGGTCCTAAACCTAATCACTCTGAGTTATAAAAAGAGCTGAATAGACCTAGAGACACACACAGGGGAAGATGCCAGATAAACACAGATACACATAGCAGATCTAGCTACAAGCCAAGGAACTCCAAGGATTGCTGATTACTAGAAGTTAAAACAGACAAGAAAGGACCTCCCCCTAGAGCCATACCCTGAATTCAGACTTCTAGCCTCCTGAACTATGAGAAAATAAATGTCTGTTCTTTGGTAATTTTGTTATGGTAAAACTAGCTAAATAAGACAGAGGGTAAACAGTAGACTCCATGAGACGCTGGAGAACCTAGAACTTAAGAGCTGGGCTTCCGAAATGAAACTATCTGGGTTGGAATCCTGGCTCTGCCAACTAGCCATGTGACAAATTGCTTAACCTCTCTGACCTCAGCATCCTCATTGAAGAAATGAGGCTATTAATATTACCAATAGGATTGTCGTGAAGAGTAAATGATCAGTACACGTAAAAAGATTAGTAGAGTGCTGGCACATGGTAGGCATTCAATACAAGTCAGTTTTTATTGTTATCAGGGAAGTGGTAGGATAGAGTGAAAAGACCACAGGTACAGGGGTGGGAAACCAGGTTCTAGCTTTCCCTCCGCTGACCATTGGCCATGAACTCTTATAATGGTGTTTTTACCTTTCTGGTCTCCAATTGCCTTTTCTGTCAAATAAGGACAACAATGCCTTCCTCACCTGCTGATGGCAGAGGGCTGGACCCAAGGACTTTCTGCAGGTCCTTTCCATGGCCACATCTGAAGTTAAACAGCCCCCTATCGTGACCCCAAGAGCGGACAGTCCCAGCTAATGGACCAGCTGAGGAACAAAAAAAATGATTGACACAGTGGTTGCCACAATGGGCTCAAGCATAACAACGATTGTGAGGATGGCGCAGGACCAGGCAGTGTTTCTTTCTGTTGTGCATAGGGTTGCTGTGAGCTGGAACCAACTTGACGGCACCTAGCAACAACAAATTATAGGAAGGACTTTTTTGGTTTCAAATTATTTAAGACATTGAAACAAACAAAAAAATGTATTTTGGCTTTTAAATATAATGCAACCAAACAGCTCACAGTAGACAGCTGTTCCCCCAGCAATCACAAAGGTCCACATTAATAATAATGATAACAAAGCAATTATCCCCTATCTTCTCTGACCCCTGCCTGGCCATACACATGAAATGTTTGTGAAATAATATATATATTTTTAAATTAGAATGTCTCAGTTTGGTGGTGCTAATGGGATCAAAGCTATGGATTCTTGCAAAATCAAGTTGAGCTTGTTCAGTCTCAAGGTCACAGACACCAGTCCTCACCCCAGTCTGCCTCTGGTATTCTTCTGGCTTCAAAATGAAAGACTATGCCTGGGAGAGGGGCTGGATCATTGCAAATCTGTCCTCACACTTGGAAATAAAAGAACTGCAAACACATGCTCTGCTGATGAAGGCTAGTAGTTTCCACATGTTTTTACTGCACACAAATAAGAAGTGTGCGAAGGATATTTCAAACGAATCCATGGGTATCCTTTTCAAGGAATGGTTTGGAGGCCTCATTGCTAAGGAGCCTGACATCTCCTCATTCCCAGAATTAGCTCTGTGCATCTAGGATTATAATCATAGACCTAAAAGTGAATAGTTATTCTAATGTAGGCTGGGGAAATGTCAATGACCCTACCTGATATAGAGGCGGACTCCTTCAGAATTTTGATTACAGCCTTTTCTTCAGCTCATCATTGTTGGTTGTCCCAGGAAGGAGACACATCCTGGGCCCTCTGAATGATGTTCTGGTTCCTTGCCCAATAGACTGTCAACAGATCTCTTTGCCTCACCGGCCTCAGCTTTCCTCTGTGAACTGGGGCTGAGTGCCCACCCTTCCCATAGGATGGGGGTAAGAACCAAAAGAGATTTGTAGGTCCAGCTAGAAATGGCAGTGGTGCTCATCATGATGGAAGCAGGCTCTCCCTTAATGGAGCTCCAAGTTCTCACTGATTCTATAACCCTACGTCTTCCATTCCAGGTACCCTAGACTGGCTGCCAAACACCGGGAGTCCAACACAGCAGGCATTGATATCTTCTCCAAGTTCTCCGCCTACATCAAAAACACAAAGCAGCAAGACAGTGCTGGTGAGTGACTCCCTTCCTCTGTTCCCTGCCCTTGGCCCATGAGCAGTTCAGATACTTGGGTCAGAGAACCATCTGGAACTAATGCTACTTGACTCTTTGCCCCTTCCCCCTTGACAGTGGTAGGAGTTTGTAGATCCTGTCCTGCCTGCTACCTGGCTAGTGCTGGAGGAAAGGCCAGTTGGGCCTTACTGCTGAATTGGAGACAGAGATGCAGTTTGAATTCTGACTGTTCCCTGTTGCACAACATAATACACCGCAGGGAACGGTCCTGCCTCAGCCTTATTATGGTCTATTTGTTCCAAATTCACCATGCTGCCTGTGTTCACAGGAAGTCCTGATTAGAACATATTTCAGTTTCCTTCCAGTTCCTGGAATGGGGTTGACCAGAGGCCACGGGCGGGGCAGCACAGCCACCCCAGTGGAGAATGCTGGAGGCAGATGCCTGGCCCTCTGCTTTTCCCCCTACTGCAAGTACAGAGGGTGCTAGGGAAGGCACTTCTCAGAGCATGGCTTCAACCTCCATCTGGCCCTTAATTTCTGGCATCGGCTACAGTGCTCAGGACTTGATTCTTTTGGGGGGTTTGAGCCCCTTGTTTTAGCTGGCGTGCATTTATTCCCTCATTTGGCATGGTTCTTTAAGAATTAACTAAGGCAATTTGAATAAAACTATCAAATTGAACATGTGTAATCTCTGAAGAACTGTGCTAGGCCCTGTGAGGAGGAGGAAGAGGGGCGAGAGAGTTTCCTTGCCCTCAGAATGGGAGAATGTGGCACCCTTACAAGCTGGGATCCCTAGAACCTAGCATGGTACCAAGCAGAGTGAGTGCTTTGTGAATATTTGTGAATGACTGAAAGAACAAACAATGGACCTCAACAGGGTAGTATATTTTAGATGTTCCAAGAACTCAGAGGAGAAGGGCGTTTCTTTGGACCAAGGTGTCCAGGAAAGGAAGCCGTGTTTGGGGTGAGAGGTAAGAGATTTTGGCGGGAACAGAGTTAGTGCAGTGGGAAGTAAATAATTCACTAATAGTTGCTGAGGTACAGGATTGGGCCAAACACTGAATGAGATTTGGGGGCTCAAAGACACTTTCCCAATCTTCAGGGCCTTGATAGTTCAGGAGGACTGGCTTAAATTCACAAAACATCTAATAATACGACAAGAGATAAATGATGGCTTAATAGAAAAACAAACAAACAAAAAACACTTGCCAGTCAGTCGATTTTGACTCATGGTGGCCCCATGCATGTCAGAATGGAACTGTGCTCCACAGGGTTTTTAGTCACTGATTTTTCAGAAGTAGATTGCCAGGGCTTTCTTCTGAGGCACCTCCGGGTGGACTTGAACCTCCAACCTTTTGGTGAGCAGCTGAGTGGGTTAACCATTTGCACCACCCAGGGGCTCTGGCTTAATAGAAGGGAGTCTGAATTGTTGATTAACTGCCAACTGAAAGTTGGAATGATTTCTGTCAAAGAATTTACCTTAGGGTCCTTTGCGAAGAAAGCTGCTTGAAGGAGTTTTGACTGAGTCATAAAAATCGAGGGGAAATTAGTTGGCTGATAAAACATGTCAGGGGAAGACTTGCGGAAGGTGAAGGAAAGCCAGAGACAAAGACCTCCAAAAGCGGCTGGAGCCTGCAGTGCCAGCCTGGGACACTTGGATTTTATCCTGTGGGCAACAGGCAGACATTAGGGGTACACAAGTAGGTACTACAACACGAGTGGCCTTTCAGGAACAACAACTAGAAGAAGTGGAAAATATTTTACATACATGCAGTGCTCTCACGTCATTGTTGTTTGGACCTTGTCATAGGTTGAATGGTCCCCAAAATTCATGTCCACCTGGAACCTGTGAATGTGAGCTTACTTGGAAATGGGGTCTTTGCAGATGTAATTAGTTAAGGATCTCAAAGTGAAATCATCCTAGATTTAGCATGGGCCCTAAATGCAATGACTGATATCCTTATAAGAAAAGGAGAGGACACACAGAGACATAGAGAGAAGATGGTCATATGGAGACAGAGACAGAGACCAGAGGGAGGCTGCCACAAGCCAAGGAACACCTGGGGCCACCAGAAGCTGGAAGAGGCAAGGAAGGGAATCTCTAGAGCCTACCGAGGGAGCATGACCCTGCTGATACCTTGATTTTTTTTTACTTCTGGCCTCCAGGACTATGAGAGAATAAATTTCTGTTCTTTCAAGCCAGTAAATTTGTGGTTATTTGTTATGACAGCCTTAGGAAACTAATGTAGACCCTTACAACCATCTGTGAGAAAGGCCAGTTATCACCACCTTCCCGGCGGAGGAAGCTGAGGCGTGTGAGGGGATCGGTGGCTTGTCCTTGTCTCAAGTGGCAGAGCTGGTGCTTGAACCTGGGTTTTCTGACTCCACACCCAGTGTCCTTTCCTCCCGGCCGCAAATACATTCATTCATACTTGTCAAAGCACCATCTCAGAGATTATCTCATTAGAATCTTCCAGATTTTTAAAATTATAAGTGGTATTTACATATTATCCATATTTACAGTTCTCCTATCCCCAAAGCCAGAGCAACAGTTTCCACCAAACACTGCATATCAGTTTCTTATAAACTCAAGGCTCTCCAATTTTCCCTTCTTCTGTTTCACCCTGTTTTTCCCCCGTCAGGGATTCTGCCCTGGAGACTCCCTCTTCCCCTGACTCATTTGCACATTTCAAAGCCCCTGCATTCCTGCCTTCCCAGATGGCCTGTCTCCCAGAACTCAATCCTTTGTGCTTTTCTTGTCTCCTTCCTTTTAACAAGACACCACACATTTCTTCATTGACACTGTAACTTGCCCACTCCTCTCGTTTCCCCTTTACTCCTCATCCCCACCCTCAAGCCCACACCTCCTAATTGTGATTAATTGCATCTAAAATTCTTAGGCTCAGCAAGCCAGAGGCCAAGACTCATTGGGACTCATCCTGCCCACCCTCCTGCAGAGAACAACAGCCCTCCTGGGCTAGGTCCCAAAGCGAACCACGGCCCCACCCCACACAGCAGCTTGTCTGGTGAGCCGTTTCACACCTGCTCTCTGCTTGACCCAGCTCTGTCACACAGCCTCTTACAGATCTCTGCAAGAGCATCAGCCTTAGACTCCAAGGGGCCTTTGCCATGCCTTCATACACTACTTCCCTATTTTTTTCTGGATCTTCAGCTCTGCATCTATGTCTTAAACATGCTTTCTGCAGATTGCTCCTTTTGTATTTTCAATTTTTTTTTTTCTTAAGCATAGCCCTCCTTTCCCATCACCTTACCACCTAATTTCCCCACCTCTCACACACATACTGGTCGTGGTCCTTTCCTGCCTCCTCAGCATCAAAACACAAAAAAAACCAACACTACACAATGGTTCTACATGGTAGACTATCTCTCCACTCCCATGGTAAATACAGAAACTACCATCCAAAATTTCCCCATTGTTTCATGTAGCCTCAAACGTCTCCAGCTCCTCCATGAACAACTGCCTCCTTTGCCATGAGACCAGAAGAACTGGATGATGCCTGGTTCCCATTACTGAACATTTTGATCAAAGATTCCATAGAAGAATCCTGATAAAAGGGGGAAAATGTACAACAGAATTTCAAAGTCTCATAGACTCTAGACTTTCTGGAGCCATAGAGGGTGGATGAACCCCTGAAACTATTGCCCTGAGATAATCTTTAAACCTTAAACCAAAAATATTCCCTGAAGTCATCTTAAAATCAAACAATAGTTTAGCTTAACCAGTAAAAAAGGTCTGCCTTGAGCATTATGCTCTTTTAAGAACTATTTCTATGGGATCAGATTGACAAAAGCAACTTAAAAGATTTGATAGGAACCTTACAGAGCAGTGAGTTTATGTTAATGAGGGGGGAACAACTCAAAAAAGGAGGGTGAGAATGGTTACACGACTTGAAGAATGTAATCAATGTCACTAAATTGTACATGTTGAAACTGTTGAATTGGCATTCAACAGTATTTTGAATATGTTTTGTTGAATATGTTTTGCTCTGTATATTCTCAATGACAACAACAACAAATAAAATTCAGGTAAAAAAAAAAAGTTTCCAGCCACCAGAATCCAGACCCCATCCGGGAGAGCCATCAATAGCTATTATACAAGATACTTGTCTATTAGTTTGTTTATTTGGTCACTCATTCATTCAACAGACATAAATTGCATGGAGTGGGCACAAATCCAGCCTAATGTTTATGGGACATTTATTGTGTGCCAGGCATTGTGCTGGGTTCTGGGGTTGCCAGGATGAAAAAGTCATTGCTCCTGATGAACTAACAGTCTTTTGGGAGCTGTAAAACATAAACATGCAATTACAGACCTGAGTTTGAATCTGAGCTCTGCCACTCCTAGCTGTGCAACTTTACCCAAGAGACTTACTCTAACTCTGAGCCTCTGTTTCCACATCTGTGAAATGGACTGAATAATACCTTCAATTTCTTCTTGTCATGTAAGGCAATTAATAGCATATCCAAGGTTTGTAATGTAGATTCATTTATTTTATAAGTTAGTGCACGTAAATCCTTTGGGACAATGCTTAGCACATAGTAAATGCTCATTAAATGTTAGCTTTGATTATTGTATTGTTGCTAAAATGGGACGAATACGAATATTGGCATCAGAAACTGCTGTTTCAGCTATTCATTTTTTTGCCTCCTCCTAATCAGCACTTCCAAATCCCCCATTCATATAGTCTACCAGTTTTTCAACTTCTTCAACTTTGTTTCCCACTTTCTTGGTGCATTTTCCTCCCCTCCAAAGTTTATGTCAAAGATTGTCCGTGGCCTGGCCCTCACTGTTGCATCTCTGGTGTCACTGCATTTCTCTGTCTCCCGAGGTCATAGTTTTGCCCTCTGTTTTGCTGTCTGTTACTCCACTGCCTCCTCTTTCTGTAATCCCCAGACCCAGGCTTCCTTTGTCTGCTGCGACTAGATTCGGCTTACATGACCCTCCCCTCACCCATTTCCAGACTTAGTCTTCCCTTAAA